AAACAAAAGAAGTATAACTTATGTGTATGTGCATTTATATGGTCTAGGTAACAATAAAACTGCTACTTAATTGTACATAATTTCTCTTAAAATTATATACAAATCCTTCAACACATTAGGCAATTTTTAGCTACTACATTTAATACCAGGTTTTTTTGGTTTTTTAAGCTAAATCACAGTCTTGGTTATATATCTATAGCTCCACTAGCTCGCATAATATGCACAAATAAGCAGAATCAAAAAGTTTTTTAGCATGCACAAACGTACAACCATGTGTATCCATGGGGACAATGACACAGCCAGTTACATTCCTGAGCAATCCATACAAGATTTGCACGCTTGGATTCCTAAATTTTAATTATGTCCTCAACAGCTATCTTAAGCATTCATTGAATGCATGTATTTTTAGTTTTCACATAGTTTTCCAGATGTCAGTATTCAGGGAGAGAACAATGTATAAACTCCCCAGGTCACTGTGGTTTCCCTCAGTTTCTATAGCATCTTAAGAGCAGTCAGTAGATTGCAAAGTTCTAGAGGAAAGCTTATGAGTAAAGACATATTTTGACCAAAATTATTTTCCAGGTGAAGTTACTAATCTGATGAGAATAGATTGCATATACACTTCATGTAATAATCAAACACAGCCATTGCTTTCTTATTACTGAAACCTCTAGGGTAAATTATCACACAACTCATCAAGAAAGCAAGGCAATTTTAACCTGAGTGTTATTTGCCCAGATGGCCAGATAAGACAGACAAGACCAGGAAGGGCATTGACCTATTGGAGCAAGTCCAGAAGAGGGTCACCAAGATGATTAGAGGGATGAAGGACCTCTTGTATTAGGAAAGGCTGGGAGAATTGGGATTGTTCAGCCTGGAAAAGAGAAAGCTTCAGGGTCACCTAACTGTGGCCTCCAGTACCTGAAGGAACCCTACAGGAAAGATGGAGAGGGACCTTTTACAAGGGTCAGGACAAGGTAAAATGGCTTCAAACTGAAGAAGAGTAGGTTTAGACTAGATATGAAAAAGAAATTCTTTACTGTGAGGGTGGTGAGGCACTGCAACAGGCTGCCCAGAAAAGTTGTGGATGCCCCATCCCTGGAAGTGTTCAAGGCCAGGTTGGATGGGACTCAGAGTAACGTAGTCTAGTGAAAGCTGTACCTGCCTGTGATGGTTTTAGTCTAGGCCTTCCTAGTGACCAGTTTGTAATCAAGGAAGTAGCCAAGTACCAAGTATTCCATACAATTTTTACGTAAACCAGAGTATAAATAAGTCAGAAATTAGAGACCTCGCTCTCTCTCTTCCGGCGAGGTTTGGGAACAGTGGGTCCCTGCGTTGGTCTTGCTTATCTAAAGCTGAGGCCTGCAGAGTCCACCGTCCTACCACGTGGAGGTTTGGAGAGTGCTGGCTGTGACTGCCGATCCTGCTGTTCTAAAGGACGTGGTGAGATCTGTTTTGTTAGTTATTAGTATAGTTTGATCTAGTATACCTGTTCGGTGTCCCTTTTGTTCCCTTTCGTCCCTTTTTTTTTCCCTTTCCCTATCCCTTCGGGGGGTGGACGCCCTTTTACTGTGTATATAGCATCTTAACTGTACATAATTGAAATTTACGTAAATATAGATATATTTTTATATAAGCAACTTGACTTTAAGTTCTTTAATTTTTATAGTTTCTTTTTCCTTTAACTTAAGGGAAGAAAGAAGGGGGAAGGGGGCTGCTGTCGTAACTTTCGGGCATTTGGCAGGGAGCCAAATCCAAACCGTCACACTGCCCAAGCCAGGAGGGATTGAAACTAGATGATCTTTAAGGTCCCTACCAACCCAAACCATTCGATGATTCTATGATCTAATCCATCCAGAATCTTGATTCAAAAATACCTCCTACTAGCTTTTGTAAACCTTGTTAACTTACCTGTGTAATTACACATTGTTTCAGTTACGTTGGTTGACTGAAGACGACTTGGTGTGGCAAAAAATTATACGACTTAATCCTCATTTCTGTGGCACACACACTATTCTCCAAGTTCAGAAGTTCTGTGTGGCTGGGGTTTTATTTGAAATCATAACTGCATTTTTTATTTTTTTTAACACAAGCATTAAAACTATCTTAATGAGAATTTTAAAAAACAACAGGCACATGCAACATAAATACAGAAAGTAACATACTTACAGCTTCAAATGATAAGTTAACATGTTCCAGGAATTTCTGCATTAAACTGTCAGTTAGTTCGTTGAACCGATACCGGAAGAGATCCATTTCTTGTTGAAGAAACCAACGCCTGAGATCCTCACTGCAAAGGAATAACGAAAAAAAAAGCATAATACCTTTTCTGAAAATGCATTCTCTCTTTCCTTACAAAATAGACCTCAAACCTAGTGAATACAGCATTAAATGTAATGCTGACTTTGGGATGTAACCCACAAAGTGGAGAGCTTGGGAGTGAAGGCAGGAAATCCTCGGTAATGCACACTCCATCAGAAAAGACTTCTGAAGAGACAATACACAGAGTGTTTTGGAGGAACAGAGGTAGTCAGTCTCAACACTGAAAATTGCTCTGTAGGTATGAAAGCTGTCAGTCTCCTAAATGGTACTCACCATTTCTTACTTGTTTTGGGTAAGAATATTCGATCGTAGGTACATTCTCCCTCAGTATTTAAAGAAAAGCTTTTTTTCCACTACATGGAATTTCTTTATTGTACAATTAATGTCACAATTAATCTGATGAGGCAAATACATTTTGAAGGTTAGTTCTTTTAACTCTAACTTTTAGGGTATCTCAGCTGAAGGAACATGCACACATCTCAGATACTATGACAACAGCATTCTCTATTCTAGGCAACAAATAGCCTGGAAACAGGCAAAAGGAAAATATATGACAATAAACTTGGGTTAGGAACACAAATAGAACATCTAATTCTTGACAAAGAGAAAAAGGGGGTTAGCAGCTGCAGGTGATCAAGTAGGAGAACAAACAAGAACACAGGGACAGGAGTCAGTAGACAATATAAAACAACAGCAAGTCTCCAAGTACTCTAAGCTTTCAAAATAACTCTTTACATCCCAGTGCTCAGATTCCCAGGCATCAGCACACTGCTCAGAGCTATAGCAAATAGGTACCAAAACACCAGTAACAAAAGCCACCCTGTATGTACAAACAGAGAATGAAGATGATGCTGTACCTCTCCACCACAGAACACTCTCCTAAACTGTCCTCCAAGAGCTACTGTTGGGCCACTGCCACGGCAATTCACAGAGCAGAGAAATACTGCAGTCTTACACATTCTCTTTAGACTATCTAAACATCTTTTTCCATTGGGAACACACGAATCACAACAGAGTCGTTTGTGCTGTTGCAGACAATACCTCTGCTTGAAATACAGTTTGAAGAAAAGTAATCATTATTCAAAGTAATTCCAGATGGAAAAGCTCTGTTCTAGAGTATAAAGAAGTATAAACCTGTGGACAGTTTCAGTGCTTGGGACATACTAATAATCTGTGCAACTTAAAATGGAAGCTAATGTCTTAATGACCAATCTGTTGCGGTTCTTATACGGTCATCTTGGACAGTAATAAAATCCTAGGATGTGGCAATTTTACTCTTTTCCTAGTCCATCAACTTCACACTGCATTTGTTTTCCTAAGTGGGAAAACAAACAAATGAAATATCAACACACACACCTATGAAAAACAAATCACAAACACAATTATTTATAGTCACTTAGGAGGCCAGTCAGACTGTTGTTCTTCCTTTCCTTCAGGAAAGCAGATCAAAGGCTGTAATCCCACCTACATACTGAAGTTACCAAAACAAGAAAATATTACTGTTATCTCTAATACATACACTTATCTGGATTCTTCCTACAGCTGACGAGCTGACTTTACGCTACTGTGTATGTCCCAGCATATGCTTTAAAACTGACTTTCCTAGGATCATCATCACTGGGGCATTATTTACTTCGTTTCTAAAGGCAAATCATATCTTATCCTCATTATTCACATGAAAAAAAACTGCACACTCTCACTTCAGACTCATATTAGTATTAATACTTACTATCAAAACCCCAAGCTTAACTGAAAAGGAACGTCACTGTCATTAGACTAACCAAGCTGCTGATGTACATGAGGGAGTTGCAGGGCATTGAAGTGTAGACATAAAGGATATCTCTTTGGGTTTTCCAGCTTAACTTCCCAGTGTGCAGATTACTCTACAACTGAGTTAAAACCAGTTCATAGATTTCCAACACCAAAAATAATATAAAAGAACGGGCTCTTTTGTATAAGGAACAGCACTTGAGAGGGTGGGATTGGAATGGAAATACTCTTTAACCCTCAGGGAAGGGTAGGAAAAAATAGCATATTTGTTGGGAAGCATTAACATAGAAGCACTTTAAGAAAGGCATGCAAATGTTCATAAATCTGGAACTTAGGACTAGTAGCTCACAGTCCACAATAACACCAGAGCTGAGTTACCAACAACTGAATACTGACTTGGGAAAACCCTGGGCATGGGCCAGATCACTGTTTTATTAGGCAAACAACACCAGAGGATTCTCCAAAGTTTAAGTTCCAAAAAGTGACAGCAAGGGGATCATGGGTACAGAAAACACACAAAAGTAAATGCTACTCAACATAAGAGGTAGGAATCTAAGCACACAAGTCTAATTTATTATATTAAAAAAACCCGCAGTAAGTAGTAAAAAGGCCTTGCTAAGTTTGAAAAAGCACTTATGTCCTTCTTATGCGACACAGACCGAATCAAATTTAAAAAAAGGCCTAAAAGTATGTTTGATAGTTTTCTGAATTAAAGAGTTTTCCTGTCAGAGCAGAGGCAAAATTTATTTATTCCATCTTAAGAAAGTAAAGGGAAGATTATGCTCCAGTGAATTACAAGGTTCTTCATGGCCAATTTGCTAAAGTGAAGAGAGATGCACCATACAGAGCCAAAAATGTAGTCGTGTCCAACATGCAAATAAAACTGTCTTTAGATCTGCATCTATCACAAAAGCAAATGATACAAGACTATTCTATTTCCTGGTCCTGAGAGATATAAGTGACATTACCAGAAGTGAGAAAGAAGGGTATGGATGAGACTATTTTATTTAGACTGTAGGGAATAAGCTTTACAGTCTTGGATTTCAGAAGGCAGAAGAAAGAAAGAGGTGATGACTATATTACAAATTTAACTGACCAGAATGGAGGAGATGGTCACTTCAGAGCATGTAAAAAACAAACCAATATAATTCAATTTATAAGTGAGGACAGATATAGACTAGAAAAAAAAAAATCCATGTAAATTCATACCCCTGGGTGGCACTGTTGGCCAACTGGAAACAGAAAAAGGCCCTATTGCAGGAAAACGAGCCTGTAAACACAGGAACTGAATTCAACCTAGTTTGCAGCTATGTCTATGCAAGTACACTTTTTCAATCACTCCTACCTTAACAGCCCTCATCAATTAACCTGATGATTTGTGCTAAGCTTATTTTTCTGACCTAGTATGCTAAAAATTTGCAGCATAGTGTATTCTATTTGCCTTCCAGTTTTATCTTCTGGGGAACGTGCAAGTTTTAGACCATAGAAATACCTCATCCCTAAATATTTGCTTTTTGAGAGAGAATGAAGAATGCTGGGTACAGGGTTACCTCATGGTGCTTAAGTCACTATTTTCCATTTTAGGAGTAAGCACTAAATCCTCCTTTTCAAAGAAACAGCAAAAGTGGAAACTGACTAAAAGCTGCTTTATTGATATGGACCATCAACCAACTGCATATAAGCTGGAACACAAAAAGTTGTTTAAAGGGTGCTCCAGAGCTCTATCCATGGCATCTCCTCTCTTTAAAGGGGTCTTCCCCCTAGACTACAAAGCCAGACTCTTTCCTGCTGATTCTGTAGCCCAAAACAGATTGTAATCACTTCTGCATAGTGGCTCACCTTCAAAAAGCTGCCCACCTCTGTCCTGCTTACAGCCTAATTTTTAAAATACTTCCCTGAAACACAGGGTTTGAACAGTGTCTCCCATCTACTTACTACGCAAGAATGCCAGTCAAATAAACCCTCATACGGAAGACAATCATCTTCTTTTAAAAAGACAGCTTGCAGAGAAAAAGAAAGCAGTCCAGTTATCTGCATCTGTCATTAATTTCAGGAGATTCCAGAGCCATCATAGATAAGTAGGGCAGGAGGGTAAAAATATCACACCATTGACAAGGGTAAATGTTTAGCCAAGTCCCTGCTGGGATGTTTCTGACTGAGGCAGCCTTTCAGGCAGCTAACTAGCCACTGTCATTCACATGCCTTCCTCCCTGCTCAGCAGAGGACAAAGCCTAATAAATTCCACTCCTGAGCCTAATACCCAACCTTCAGGCTTTTGCTAGGTGGTCTTCTGTGAATCTGACCCAAACTCATTTTTCCCGAAGTCACAGACTGAGCCAAAAATAGATACCTCTTGAATTCTAGATCAGATTCTTGCCACCAGAAAATTCTCAATAAGAGCAGAATTTTTTTCAAATGTGTTATTACCTAAACTCTTGAAGCATCTAATCTCCCACTGAAAAGCAATGGTCTAAATAAGATAAGTAATAACTGTTTAAAGTAAAGATTTACAAGGGAAGATAACGGAGGCCAAACTGACTATTCAAAATGCCACTCGCTGCATAATACAAAATATTACATTTTCAAGGGCCTTTTAGTACCCAGCCTACTTGAGAATACTATCTTTGAGAGGGTTTTGGTAAACTTACAACATAGGTAAAGCAAGATAATTTCTTGCAGGACCAATATGACTAAGGGAGTTTATAAAAGTACACACAACAAACACAGGCACTAGAGAGAAACCAGTATTACATTTGTTATTCACAGTCACAAATTATACATGTAGAATACAGAAGGGTAGAAGGAATTTCAGCCATAATTCTGTTATTTAACTTGCTCCCTTCTTTCAGGATTTCAAGCTAGGCTATCAGAGTCAATGCAGTGAAGGTTGGTATTGATCTTCACATCCCCAGCCTGTTCCTCACTGTACCTGCGTCACAGATCTAGCTGGTTCATCGACCACCTACATTGAAAAACTGTCTTCAGCACAGCCCAGATACCTTTTGACAGGATAACATGATGGGACATAAATGATCCAGAAGATTTCAGGGTGTTTAAAAGTCAACCAGGGCCTGTCATGGTGAGAGTTTGAGGCCTCTGCTACTTCCTATTCTGATCAGATGTTCTAAAGCAGGAACCCAAACCCATTTCAAACACAAGCCTCATTCACTTCAGCTCCATATTTTGGCTTAGACCACAATTTCACAATCACTCCTACTTATATTTCCGTCTGTTTTTTGCTGACAAATCTGTATCCAACCATAGCAGCATCTTAGTCACGTCACCTATCACAGTATAACATGTATTCTACCACATTTACCTAATTTAAATAAACTATATTGCAACTTAAAGTGCAATTGAATTAACAATTCAAAACAGTACACACTTCATATTTGCCATGTTTAATTTTAAAAAAGATGCAATGACAAAGAGTCAGGAGTTCACATTAATGTATAACAAAGCTGCTAGCAGACATAAAGCACTGACAGCCTCTAAAATTCCATCCAAAAACTACAGGAGAAGCAAAAAGAATGCACTTTACTTTTTGCTTGAGATCTCACACAACAAAAAAATTGCAATGAACCATCCACAACAATGAATTTGAACAAAAAGCAGAGTCAGAAGTGGAAACCTCAAACTCAGATGGTATTTTTAGTTTGTCAGAAGCAAGGTTCTCTGTACAATAATATAAAGTCTATTTACACAGTCAAGTTTTTGGTCAGTTATCAATAGTTTTAGAATATACAGCAGTTAAATTATATTATTAATCACTGCAAATGCCTAACAAACACTTAACACTGATATGTTTTCATCTCAAAAAAAGATATGAGAAACTTAAATCAATGCTCTGTGTATAAAAGCCAAAAGTTTTCTTTTTTTAATTATTAAAAATCCAAATACTAATTTTGATCCCATGTATCCCTTTTCATCACAGCTGAAATCAGGTTCCTAGCAAAAAAACTCTGTTTGAGCATACCTTTCTATTTAGTAGCCATGCAACTCCAAAGTATCTGTAATGTCTATAATAAAGCAATGTCAAATCTGTATACATTTAAAATTATTAATGAGTACACCGTAACCAAAAAGTACTTACGACTGGCAGTAAGCAAGGCGTAGTATGAAATGAGAGATATGATCTTTTCTTCTTGCCTCATAATCATCCTCAGCCAAAGCCTACAGAAGATAATTGTTATTATTTTAGAGAAATAATTTCTCCCAGATTAAAAATTCACAATTAATTTACCATTGCTGTTCAACATTGTCTAAACTCATCTTTTAGGCAATAAATGCAAACTATGAAGGAAAGAGGTAACCCTAAAGAAAGAAATACATATCCTAAAAGAAAAACTACATCTCTGACAAAATGACAGCGCTTCAGTTTTAGAAACAGCATTTCATCACCTCTACTTTTATTCATAATTATTGTATGGTGTAAAGAAAATATAGTGCGAGAGAGTTACATGTTCCGATTTTTACTTACTTTGTAGGGAAACTTAAGTTTCCGGAGCTCATTCTCCAGCTTAAATTTGTACGAATCAGTACTTCTTACATAGCTCACGCCAAGGTTTTCAACTACTTTGAGCACTGAGCAAAAAAAGAAAAGGTCCATGTTAGAGAGAACACGTTGAGAAGAAATCTAAATGTATCACAGCTTGGGAAAGGCACAAACTGGGGTAAGGCCACAGGAATTGCTTTTAGAGGTACGAGGAGCAAAAGGGTGAGAAATGTGGAGGACAAAGCGTGGCCCACGAGTCCTTAACAGCTGTCCCAACTCCGGGATCCACAGAGTCAACAAGGAAAGGGAGTCAGCTAACTCATGGATCCCCCTCAGAACATCGGACACCTTGGATCCCGCAGTTTTCAGGAATTCAGGAGAATCCTTGGCTCCTACCTGAATAGCAGTCCTGAGAGACATCAAATATGTGCCAACATCCACAGACAATGAAACGTGGTCACAAAAACCACCAATGTAAACCAAAACTACACGGTCCCGACAGCTACACCGAACGCTCACGGTGCAATCCGTCTCAGCTCCCTGGAATGCCTAAAGCAGCGCGTTTCCCTTCAGCGGGGGCTCCTGCCAACATGAGCAGCAGCCAGCTCGGGATCACACCGGGCAAAGGGAGCACCTGGGCCCGCCAAAAACACGCACGGCCTGACAGCAACGGTGAAAAGCATCGAGGGAGGGCAGGGAAGAGAAGAGAGAGAGGGAGGGAGGGAGAGACGCTACTCACGCTTCAGGCGGTCGATGGCAAAGCTCTCGAACTCCACCAGCGAGATGCTTTCCGTGGGGGGCTCCAGGTAGAACTGCAGGCTGTGAGGGTACAGCTCCCGCCGGTCCCCAGCTAGACGCAAATGCTTCTGCCTCGTTCGGCTGGAGAACTCCATCGCCGCCGCCCCGGAGCTGCCTCCGACCCGATCCCGTCCCGCCCGACCCCGCCCGCCGGGACACAGCGGGAATGCCGACCCGCACCCGGCCCGCGCCCCGGCTTCCCGCGCTCCGCTGGCCCCGCCCACTTCCGCGAGGAGCCGCGTCTCCCGCACTGCTATTGGCCGGCGGCCGAGAGGGGGCGGGGCCCGACGTCAGGTGCCCCCACCCGTCATGGCGGCTCCGGGCAGGGGGGGCGGAGCTTCACTAAAAGGTGCCCGCACACGTCATGGCGGCTTCCACCGCTGGGGCATCTTACGGTATCCTACGGTTGCACATTTTCCGACGATACTGCAGGATTTGGTATTTCTGCCGCCGCGTTGACCATTTTGCTGCAGCTGGGGTTATGTCACGTTTTATGTCCCCTGCCACAAAATGCCACTTACTCTCTGATTTTTTCCCCTACCTGGAAAATTGGCGAATGATCTTGCAACTAATTCAGAGTGTAAAGGGGTGGCAAACCAGAGCTGACATACCGTTTGTGCTCACAAAACAAAGTGAGGAAAATCAGTGGCTTATGCTGGCAAGTTGTTAAGAGCAATGAAATGATCCTGGACCAGGACACACAGTGGTCTCGTGTTCTGGGGCAACACCCGAGACATTCCCAAGTAACCCGACTGCAGCTTTAACAAGCACTAGGACTGGCAGCGAGCCTGGAGCTGCAGCCTGCCTCTGTACTAGCAGATTAAACATGGTGCTGAGCTCGGCTGATACGGGATAATCCACTCCATCCTTCAAAACAAGGCGGCCACATCCACATCGCCTAGAGAGGACACTGATGGGGTCGTGGTAATCCTCAGACTGTGAAGTGTGCTCTTTGGTCCAAGCCAAACTCTGCCAAGGGGTCATGGGAACATTTTAACAGGATAAAAAGTCAAGCTTCAATCTCCAGGACTGCTCTGTAGTTTTCCAGAAAAAAAAAAAAAAAAAAGCGCATGCTATTGATATATTTTGATATAGTGATAATTATGTAACATATTTAACCCAAAGCAAGTTCATATCTTTATATATAAATATGTATATAAATCAACTTTAATGCAAAGCAACATTTTTTTCAAATAGACACTACTTATCCCACAGAGTTTCTTCCCTTCTACACCCGGCTGCGACATGAGTTGCTCGGGACTAGGAGTCCATCTGCCAAAATCCACCTAGTATTTGCCAAAAATCAGCTTTTGCCTTTGACCAGTGTGTTAATACCCAGAGACTGGCAGTGCTCCATCCAGGGCAGGGCAGGTCAAGGAGTTTGGTCAGGGTTCCCACATTTGTTTGGACTGCTGTACCAGGCCTGAACTGGAGGGGGAGAAGTGTGACAATGCTGAGGAGTACAGCAGAAAACAGCAATGCTTTTCATTTTAATTTAATTTCCGTTCATGTTTTAGGGTTTGGCACATAAACAGCACCACATCTTTTGAAATCATGGTATGTAGTTTGCTGGCCATCACTATTTCTACTGAACCACGTCCTGCTGATTTTTAACAGCTCAGCAGCTCTGTCTACACCTGCTGTTTCACTTCCTTTATTGCTGAATATTGTCTCAATTTGTCTGTAATTAGGTGAAGATCTACCTTGTTTAGTTCTTTTGAATTTCACTGAAGTAGTAACACTAAGAGTATTGCAAAAAAGTCATAAGATTACTTCAGCAGAAATTAAGAATCAAAGTTAACATCTATATTGCTAGACTTAAATACTATATTACTGGAATTAAATAAATCTTACAATGCAAAACCTTACCATTTCACACACAAAAAAAATATTGGGAAAAGAAAATAGAAAACAAAGTAAAAATTTATCACCTCGATAAAACTCTCCTAATTTCGCACCTCAGACCTTCTTACTGATGCATCTATTGAGACCTACAGATGGTAATACTTCTCACTATAGCATTTTGGTTACTTCTTTTTTTTTTTAAGAATATTTTTATCACTCCCACAGTAACCAGTAGGGTCTGATTTTTTAAGTATTTTACAGAGAATTATTGATGTTGTAAAAACCCACCTCACAAATGTTTTACAACAACATCCATATGGTCACCTGTCAAACTGTCCCAATCATCCCATCCAAACACATTCCAATTTAGCATACCCCAAACTGTTCTGCTACTTAATTAACACACTGTTGGGAGGAAAGGGTTAAAAGTGGAAGAATGAGGAGGAGGATGGTAGATTTGCTCAAGTGACCTTGAAGCTGGGAATGCCAAAGCTTGGAGAATAACAGTGTGGGAAACCCCGTATATTGCGCCTACTGCTGTTTATTCTCTGTCTGTTTTGAGAAGATTTCTTTGTAGAGATAACGTAGGTGTTTTGAGAGACTTGGAGGCAGTCTCATGGACACGTTTGATCTCCCTGTTTCAGGAGAGAGAAGATTAAAGCTCAAAGATCATAAAAAAGCTCAGGGGAGATCACAGCATGATGGTAAACTATGCGTGTATGGGCCCTTGACAAACTGGGGCAAACAGCAATCCTGACACCCTCCAGAATGGACTGAGCTGGGATCCTCCAGTTAGCAAGGTAATGAGATAAATTTGCTCCTTTCATTTCAGCCATGGTTTTGTGGTTGTTCCAGCAGCCTGCCTGTGTCCACATGCAAAATCCTTATTTGCATTAAATGTGTATCATTGCACAGTTGCTACTCTCACTTTTGTTATATTTTTTGTTATATATTTGTTATATTCACTTGCAGAGTGTCCAGTGCCAATCTGTCAGAGTCCAGCTGTTCTCTATTTGTATAACTACATCTGCTAATAAAAGGGTAAATATGGTGATGCTGGTACTAGTCTCTCTTTCAAGCTGTCCCCTTCATCCATCATGTCTGGGATGTTTGGATCTCTATGGATAGCAGAGATGAGCACAAAATGTCCCTTCTCTGCTTTTGGCTCACTTTCAGCTCTTGCTGTTACTTGACAATCCTATTTACTGCCTGACTGAATTCTCATGTAATTCTGTCTTTAGATATACTGTCTTCATGACTTGCATTTTTTGATGTTTTCACCTCTTCAAATATTCTTCTTGAATAATTGCTTTAACTTTTGTTTATTCAAAATATTTATTTACACACTTTTCCCTCTATTAACTCTACTCCTTTACTGATCAGACTTCTTCAGAAATCTTAACAAGTTTACACTTTTAGTGCATTTATGTTATTTCTAGCACAACTTCTCTTTCCTTTTTTCTGTTTTGCAGTTGTCCATGCTTTTTATTACTTCTTTAAATGTTTGACATCCAGATTATACTGACATTTTTTTTCTGACCATTATGCACAGATACCTTTGTACTTACTATAAATAGCAGGGTAAATGTTCTGAGCTGGCCTTTAAATTCCTGCAGGCTCTGAAGTGAGTAAAGCATGAATCATTCAGTGAAGAGAGGTTCGGGGGCTACTTTAGTTGGAATTCACTCTCAGTGTTAATTTATTTAAGTGGGGAAAATGGTCACATCCCTTGTGACACTCTGAATCTCTCTGGCTCCACTTACAAGGGGCTTTTAAATCCTGGATATATTCCCTATATCCCCCATCCAAGACCCTAGTGCAGAGGCAGAGAAAATCTAGATATATCTTCACAACCTTCTTAGATTTATCTGACAGGTAGATCTATCACCCACCTCTGCCTCTCACTACATGCATCTTCTTCAGTATGTTTAGGCTGCTGTAGCAAATATGCTCAATGCATCCTTCTCCTGCCATATATCATGTTTCTGATTCCTTAGCATAATTTTTCACTGTACATATCGAGGCAAAATCTGCCATTTCCGTGCACTAGGCTTCTCCATTTGTACTCCATTACAAAATGCTCCGTATGCATGAAATAATCTTGCCTACCATGGTGGGGCTCAGGGCAGGAAGGAGGGAAGCGACCTGTTTTTTTTCTCCTGTTAATCTTCCTCTGATACCTTTTGAGCATCGAATCAATGTTAAAGAGAGGGATTGAAGCATCAAAGATAAGATGTACTCTGTAATCACAAATTTGAGAAACTGGAGCCTGATCAAAGAAAAGAGAGGGAGATTCATAGGAAAGAAAAGCAGAACTTGGCCTCTTTTGTGTGTGGAGCAGCAGCAACCAGACAATTAACACAAACTCCCTGGCTGGTCAGTGTAAATACAGCTTGAGCTCAGCCACTGCTCCATTGTCTTCAAACAGACAGGGGAAGGTTTGAACTATCAAGAATCAAGACTAATAAAGAAGAATTCATTTGCAGACTTGGTTTATTCTGTTGCACAAGGATCTTCTTTTTCCTACTGTGTCTATCTTTATCGTATTTAAATTGTGAGCTTCTGAAACACACAAAAAAATTTCAGTCTGTCTATCTGTAGGGGTATTGATGTTTTCTTTTCTTGGAAATTATTACCACTAAACTAATTTACAACAAGTAAATGCTTTTGTTAAATATAACATTTAAGATTTAATGCATTTCTAATACTATCCTGAGGATGATCAAACTTCTACCTGTATAGCATTAAGGAATAGGATGTTTTCTTATCAAGTAATCTGTAGGTAATCGAAAGATTTAATTAACCCCAAAAGTATTGCTACCCAACATAAAAACTAGACATAGCTATGTATCTAGGGTTTTTTTAATCAGATGAAGAAATATTTGCCAGCATTCAGAATAATGCAAAAAATAAAGTTTGAAGTATTTTTACAAGGAAAACACCTTATTGTCTGAAGATTTTTGAATATTATTCTGTCTCAGTTAAACCACTGCAGCTGAAGGGTTTTGTTCAGCCCTTTTGGTGTTTAATTAGGGGAATTGTGTAATACAAGCTTTTTTTTTGGCAGATTTCCTGTTTTAAGCTATGACTTGATCATGAAAAAATGCCCTGTTCATCCTGACACACACTGAATGTTCAAATACCCAGTCACTGCATAAAACAGTCTGCAAAATTCCAACCCAATAGTAAGTAGCCAGCTGCCTTCCAGTTGTTAATAAATCTCTGTGTTAGACTTCTCTGAGCACTTACACCTTTACAAGTGAAAAGCCCCAAAATAAACATCAGGGTGGGATCCAGTCTGCCTAATCTAGACACTAAACCTACACCTACCTTTTAAGCTCTTCTTTTAAAGGGAATAGTTTCCCATGGAATACTTGAAAAAAGGTATCCTGCTGGCCTCCAAAAGGACATCTAGCCTGCCTAAATTTAGATG